GAAAACGAATGGATGCTCTCTTGGTCCGGGGGATGGCGGGGCACGACGAGTTGTGATGTGTAAAGATTTGAGGAATGTGATGGGAGTTGAGAACCTTACTGGCGTTCCTGTTGGGAGGCGGACACGGGAACACCGTTGTGGGAGAGAAGAGCACAGGAGAGAACAGCAAGGCTGTGAGAGCTTTGAGCGAGATTGGTGTTCCTGCGCGCGCTAATGGTCGGGGGCTGAATCTGCGAGCGGTGGAAATTGGAGGCGGAGCCGAGACTAATTGTCAACGCGTAATCTGAGGAACTTCTTGCCTAGGAGGTATCAACGATACGCTCCTTTTGGGGCGGGGGGAGCGTTGCAGCCTGCGGAGCCCATCTTGCAGGCCGACCATGACGCCTTTCTCCCCCCTATACGTACCAATCCTGGCGGGCCACCAGGGTCTCACGGGTCTGCGCTCAGGCGGACGCGTGCCTCAAGGCCGGAGGTTCCACCTCAGCCGGAAAGAAACACTTGAGTCTCTTTTTGTGGACCTGGCTGCCGATCTGCCGACCTTCATCCAGGGTCTTCAATACTGCCAAATTCTTGTAGGCTTGCATGACTCTATAAGGTCCCGACCATCGAGGGTGCAACTTATTGGACCATTGCAATTTGAGCCACAATTCGTGGCGCAGAACCAAGTCTCCGACTTCAAGGGTGAGCTCGCGTACCTTTGAGTCATGTAGCGCCTTGCGTCGAAGCTGCTGGCTAGCGAGCGTTCTCACCGCGTCCCATCTAGTCGCGTCGAGCAGTGCTAAGTGGAGTTCTGCTGCCTCCACTGTGGATTCCTCATCCGGTGCGTGATCCAGCGGGGAGGTCTTCGTGGTGAGTCCGAACAGGATTTGCGCTGGAGAGTACTCGATGCCGGGAATGACTCTATGGTTGATGCTCCTAGTCGCCTCTCCGAGATGGCTTGGCCAATTGTCAAGGTTACTTGCCGTCAAGAGCTTTCGAAGTGTTGATACTATGAGCCTATTACTGCGCTTGACGAGACCGTTGACCCAAGGTGCGTAAGCAGGGGTAAGTCGATGCTGGATATTATGCTTGTCCAGGAAGTCATAGACATCCGCATTGTCAAAGTGGCTGCCATTATTTGTTGTGATCGACGTTGGTAGTGTCCAATTGTCTCTCATGTGGGTCAATGCATTCAACACTTCTTTGCTGCGCTCTTGGCCAAAAGCAAAAGCCCATATGTACCGCGAGCCGTAATCCGCTATGACTAAGACTTTCTTGAGTTTGCCTACTGCTGGTAGTGACAAGAAGTCCATTGCCCACGCTTGCATTGGCTCTATGTATGCGATGGGCTGGAGCAGAGAATTTTGATGCTGGGGGCCGAGTAGTTGGCAAGACTCACACTGTCTCGTGATTATTTCTGCGTCCGCGTAAATGCTTGGCCAGTAGAAATCTTGCCTTGCAGCCGCAATTAGCAGATCTCGAGAGAAATGGCCCTGCTTGCGATGGATGCGCTTTAGTTCGGCTTTTCCTTCTTGCTGCGTGAGTGCCTTTGTGCTTGGACCTTTTCTTT